CCCACAGTCTCGGTAAAAATTTCCCTATTTTAAATCCAGTGCGATTGCGGCTTTAGTCTTAAAAGAAGCATTGTGGTCAATAGCAGACTGAAGAGCTTTCTTAAAAGTTTCAATGCATTGATCAAGAGTGAGGCCACCATCCTCTATAACTGCCAATCCAGACTTAATCTCATCGCAAATATCGGCCATATTTATAGCTTTGATATTACGTCGCTTAATTATGATGGTTGAAAGAGGCGGTTTCTTGAGGTTTAGCTTGTAAAACTTGCAAAAAATTGCATAATGGTCAAAGAGACCAGGATGCAATCACAGCTCACTGATACCATTAAAGTAATAATAATAATACAGTAATAATAATAATAATAGAATAATAGTAATAATGGAAGTAAAAGTAATAATGGAAGATACAATTTAACATACACATATGATAATAAAATAACATGGGAATAGGAGACAGCTGTTCCCTTCATTTCCCGTCTAAGTGTATTTTCCAGAATATATTTTGATTTATTCATTATCTCGAAAAAGTTCTGGTAAAAATACTTAGTACAAGAAAAGTTGCAAGAACAACCATTAGAAAATATTGGGGATAACCCTCTAATTCCCCTGTAAAGGGACTTATTTCCAGATGGGTCCCCTTATATGTGGGTTGATAGTCCTGTATATTAAAGATTACTGGATTTATCAATTAAATAAATAACATTTTAGATTAAATATAAGTACACTCATCTGCAAGAAAAAATAATAATAATAATTAGTGATGATAGTAATAATAAAAGTAATCATATCAACAATTCGCATTTTTATTTCGCATATTTATCAGAATTGCACATTATTCAAATAGAATTAATTAATTTTGTGCTTTTTTATATTTTTAGGATGATCGCTACTTCCTTAGTGGTTCGTTAGATGGCAAACTCCGTCTGTGGAATATACCTGACAAGAAGGTCGCCCTCTGGAATGAAATTGATGGGCAGACAAAGCTTATTACTGCTGCCAACTTTATCCAAAATGGCCGTTTCTCTGTAGTTGGAACTTATGATGGACGTTGCATATTCTATGACACAGAACACCTTAAATATTATTGCCAGGTTCATGTCAGGTCAACACGAGGTCGTAATGCCAAAGGTCGGAAAATTACAGGAATCGAACCATTACCTGGAGAGGATAAGGTGAGCATGATGAATATTAATTACATTACCAAGTTGTTAAGAGCTAATCTCCCTGAAATTAGATAGAGGGATGAAGAGTAGCAGCATGTTCCGTATAGTCTAGGACCTGACTAAGATTTGTATGCACATAATTTAGGAGAGAGTATCTCAACTGTTATAAAACATGGGATGTGTGCCAAAATCTCTATCCGGGACAAACAGCCCGAAAATGACCACACCCATTTTTAATGGCCGTGCCCCTTTTTCATTGGAATTGCTACTTTAAACAGACATTATGGACTTATTTATAAAAGAACACATATGATGAGGGGATCAAATTTCAGAAATCTCACCTTAATCACAAGTCCCGTTCATATGAAAATTAGTTTTAATATGCAAAATAGGGGCTACGCCCCCTTTTTAACTAGAAGTGCTACTTTAAATGGTAGACTAGACAATCTGAACATATTGCAAACAAGGGTTTTTCTTTTATAAATGAACACATATGATGAGGGAATAACATTTCAGAAATCACACCGGGATGCTAAAAATGCTATGGCGAGGCCCTCTGGGTTTGCGCTGAACCGTGGAGATCCATTAGCTCCCTGGTTCAATCCCCATCACTGCCTCTCCTTGTATTCCAGCTGGAGGGCTGAAATACAAGTTACAATAGCGCACCGTCTTTTTCATGAGATCTTTAAGCTGTTGGTCCCGTGTGCATTTATGGCCCATGCACACGTTAAAGAACGCAGTACGTTCTTCGGAAAAGAGTAGGGGATTGTCTCCCGGTGTGCTGTCGAATCACTACCAGAAGGACCCCACTGGAAATAAGTCTTCTTTCCTTTCGTGGGCTATCCTTGGTGTTTACACCAAATAAATCCAATCCAATCCCATCCTAAAGAAAATCAGAAAAGAGAGTGAGGAGAAGATATAAAATTGATGTTAGTACTGTACTGTTGTTACTTATTATATTATATAAAAGTAATAAGATTTGATACTACTCACATTCATTTTAAAAAAAAATGCTTAGTGCAACAAGCAAAAGTACAAAGTAAGCTGATTGTTTAGGTTTTCAGTCGTGTGACACTACATTTTATGTCTTTATGTCACTTAGAAATTCCTAAAGGTCAACTAAAGTGAACTATGAACTATGACTGATTTTAGGAGGACTAATTTTATCTGAACCTAACCATGAGAAATACTCTTATATTCTTTTAAATTATTTTTTGCTTTTAGATTTTGGTAACCTCAAATGACTCGAGACTACGAGTGTATGATTTAAGAGACTTGTCAATTTCATGCAAGTACAGAGGTTGCTCCAATTACAGCAGTCAGATCAAAGCTTCATTCAGGTAATAACTCATTTGCATAAAGGTGATGACTCATTATCATGTTGATGATATTGATGATGTTAATTTGCATAATGATTGATGCAATTGGAGTTGATTAATTCTTTGTGCAAGTGGTGATTAAGTTTTGCCGTTGGCTTTGATTTGAAATTTTAAAAACCAATTAATGAAATAGTTAATGCCAAACAGTTTAATTTATTTTTCATTTTGTTCAATTTTAACTATATTTAGAAGAAATTGCAATTATTTTTACAATTAAAACTGAAAGTATATTTACTGAAGAAGCTTTCGTTTTCTGGTAATTTAACATCACAACAGTAAAATCACATGCCTTGTTTTAGCATGTCGTCGTATTATATTGTCCCAATGGTAGGCAGTAGTTGGTATTTGTAGAACATGTATGTAGAACAACTACTTGACTCCCTGTTCAAACTTTTGCATATGTCCAGTACCTGAAAATTTTCCATGTTGATCTTGTGAAAGTGTTTGGAGCTAGATCGTCCATACTTAGCAAACTTTATCTTTATACATATTCAGTTTTCAAAATGTACAGCACACACTATTGAAATCCATATTTGGTGTGGTTGATCGATTCACACACTTTTTCTTCATAGGTTTTTTTTGGCTAGATCACTTGAGTCAACACTTTTTGAAGTTGGGCCCTGGTGTGAAAGAGATTCTCCTTTAGCATTCCTGAACCTAAATCCCTTGATAATTTGGGCCCCAGAACAAGCAATTTAAACCCTACTCCAATACACAATAGCCAGTAAATTAGGCATTTACATTATGGCACATAACATTTGTATCATGTAATTAATTTTGAATCTTTGCTTTTCTTTTAGCCATAATCGCAAGTACATTGTCTGTGGCTCTGAAGACTTCAATGTTTACTTCTGGAAGACTAATTATGATTTTGGAAAGTTTTCATCAGTTAGGAGGGACAGGAACGACTACTGGGAGGCAATCAAAGGTGGGTGTAGCCTAGTGATGTGATGTTTTGTTTTCTCTTTAAAGTAAATAAAATATTATATAATGGAATTCAATTCAATTCAATAATCTTTATTCATCCCACATGGGGCAATTATAAAGAAAAAACAGGACTCAATACAATACATGATAATAAAAAAATATATACATAAATATACACAAGAAAAACACAGTTTACCCTGTACATACAAAAGTATTAAAGGCCAAATACAGTAATAACATCTTAATTTATCATTATATTTCATTGTTGTTGAATGTCCTATAAAATATCACAGTGTTTATTCTGCCAGCTAAAACTCATATTTGCCTATCCTTAAAGTAAAGGTTGGAGTGCGCCCTCACTAATCACCACGAAAATGCTTCAAGAATGCATAGGTATACTACTGACTAAATAAATACTGCCATAAAATACTGTAAATATTTTTATGAGGCTTAGGAAATAAAGTTTTTTTAGTCATGAGACAAGATACTTATATCACAGGATTGAACCAAGGACTTCAGGAATAAAAGGCTTAACCACTAAACTACATCTTAAATATATAAGTTATTTTTACCCCATAATTTAAAAATATTTTTTTCTAAATCAGCTCATAACGCTGTGGTTACCACTGCTGTTTTCTCACCAAACCCATCGCTGGTGATTACGCCGATCGCCGAGGGCACCAGTGACGTTACAGAGAAACGTGAAGGATCACCTGGCTCGCCATCAGTCCCTCTCAAGCGGCCGGACAAGATAGACACTAAAGGTGAAGGGTCATCAAGGGGTGGCTCCCTTAAAAAAGACAAAATGGACAAAGGTGAATTGTTGGTATCGGCTGATTTCAATGGACAAATTAAAGTTTTTATTAACTACCCGAAAATTCCTGCAAAGATATCAGTAACATAATAAAAACGAAATAACATAACAATATTGAACTATTATTACAAATCATAAATAATGTAAGTCTTATTCCATAGTATTATTGAAATATCCAATTTCATATGTCATGTAGGTCAACAGATTCAATGACCCTTTCCTTGGTACTATGTGTCCCTAGGTACTTAGTATCTCTCACAAATTTTTATTTCTGAAATTCTTGAATGTTTAGGAAATCAATAATGAATTTGGTCTAGCCGGATCTGTTGCTGGCACTGTGGTTGTGTTCATTAGGCGTGATTGCTCTGCCTTGGTTATCCTGATAACTATACCGCTTGGTAGCTACTGTATCTGTTTTCTTAAGGCCAACTCAGACAGAATCATACAACTGAGTCCGATGTCATGTCGGATCTGTGTAAGTTAAAACACAGACACAATAGGTCTGCGTCAGGAACAGTTGTGCTATTCATGATGAACTAAAGAACATGACAATAAATCCTGCCAGGCTGAATTGTACAATGCTGTTTTAGTTGCGTTTTGAATCATCCCTTTGTGTTAAATTATATTCTTAAAATAATTTTAGTAGACAACTGTTTTTTTTTTTACTGTTTATCTAATTGTTATCTAGTCTTTCACTGGATAATAATTTAAAACCAAACTTCAAGATTATAAATCAGTCTCCATTTATCCTGTATCATGGAATCTGATAATAGGATTGAAAGTAGTAACGAAAGTGAAAGAATAAAGTACATTAAATTTTTTCTGTCCTTTAAGGAAAATTGTTGTATGTCAATATTTGCTGCTTTTATGAATACCAATTTCTGGCTGAGCATTTCCTGTTGTAAAATATTACAGTGTATATAAAGTTGGTGGCTACTCGTGTGCATACCTGAGTGAAGCAATTCTGTATAGAATGTTTGACTTGAGGAAGGGGGAGCTTAAATTTACATTGGTGTCAGAATAACCTGTTAATGCAATATTTAGTCCATGTCATGAGTTCTCTTGTAGAATTTTTTATTTGACTACCTTTAGCCTAATAGATTTTCACAGCATGAGGCTGAATTATGAAAACAACCAATCAAAGGAAAGCCCTCAGGATGTTTACTTTTCACTCCAGAAGACAAATTATCTTTATAAAATAACAAGCTTCCTGTTTTGCCAGATTCGATCAAAATTGTTGTATAAATTTAGTTTATAATTTATTTTTCATTGGAAAAGGGAGCAAATACAATTAATTTTTACGAATAATGTATAATAGTATCCACTGTCTTTTATCAAAATGATTATAGATATATAATTATAGATAAGGTGTGGCTCCGTTGAAGCATTTTAAGCCATCTGTAGTGTCATAGGCAAATATATACAGTACAGTCCTGTCTGCAGTGCCATAACAAAGAGCTTGAGGCCCTGGCTTACGCTGCTGCAGGCTCTACATTGACCCTGGGAGCTGGGTCAATGTTTTAAGGGCGTATTTTGATGGAATTTTACATTCTGAAAGGAATATCCCGTATCTGTGGGCCCTGGCTTTAGCCAATGAGAGCTCTTAGCTGTTACACGGCTGACTGTGTTGAGTTAAAGAATGTTATGAAACAAGAAGAGGCACTCGATAGTGTGTACCTCTGCCATTGTGACGTTTTTATTTCAGTGTTAGTTCTGATGTCATCACTGCAACTCCCAATGTCATTTTCCTATCGCCAACATCCACTAATTTTTCATTAGTGCTCGGTTTGCTTGATCTTTTTTAAGTTTGTGTGCGAAAGACCAATTCAACTTGTACACATCGTGCACCGGGATGACCTCTAGACTAGTGTTTTTACACCCAGCACTACGTAATTATGGTAAAATGTGCACCTTCCAATTCTTAGCTTTATAATTCAGATCAATCCAGTAAAACTCTTTTCCTTGATTCCACAATCAAGTGCCTAATTATAGTTCCTGATCATCAGAAACATCTGGCATCGTGTAGGACATCCTTCACTCCCTTTTTAATATTATTAATAACACATCAGTGTTTTCTACTGTGGATGAAATATCATCCTTGTTTAATTCTCCTCAGTGCAAAATTCCTGTTAATATAACTTATATCAAATACCAGTATTATTTATGTATGGTTGTAAGTAAAGTATTATAAATTTTATGCATATCTCAAACTAGATAAACATAACCCAAATATGCCGGAACCAAAAGTGAATATACAGTAATTTGACAGGCTTGTATATAATTTTCTTGTCAGTGTTTCATAGGCTTTTTATTTTGGTGATATCACCTGGGCTGGAATGTTGTCCTGTTAAATTATGTGCCTGCTAAAACTGATCCATAACTAAATGCACTTCAGTTTCACCACCACTTTCCTAAATATTTACACTTTCTTTTTTCCATTTTTTCAATTTCATTTATTTTTATCAATTAATCTTTAAATCCCTTAAATGCATTATCCCACCTATACTTACCTGTCTCTATATTTTCCTTTTTATAATAATGTTGATCACCCTTATGAAAAGCAGACTGGAGTCGTATATGCTGTACAGTCGTAAATAATGATAATATTGGTTCTTTTTATAAGTCATTAAATTGTTAATGTTTTGTTTTTTATAGTGCCTTCCAAAATCTACATCATTCATCAATTCTTCGTATATCAGCATTGTTTAGTAGTATAGTGTGACGTACCACGTTCAAGTGGTGCTCCAACTGTTGTTAAAATGAACTGGAACATTGATGTTATCTACGCAATGCTTCTGACTGACCATTCCACCCCTAGTACCCCACCTTTTGGTGTTAAAAATGTCTATTAATATGATAATTCTTCAACCAGTTTTGTGCATAAAATGAATATGAATATGTGATTATTACTTTGTTCTTGATCCTTGTTTTGTGTTGCATATTTGCCTGAAAGTGCAAGATATCAATGTTGTTTCACTTCCATGGAAAGCTTGGTTTCCATAAAATCGCTACACTGTCGCTACAGTGATTTCAGTGTAATCATTGTACTGCTTAGCAGTCCCCGATGCAATCGGAAAGGTCCTCGATTTGACCGACCAATCAGCATCACTAAAAGCTTTCGTGTAGCGATTGTATGGAAACCAAGCTAGTCTTGTATATTCTGTAGATGTCCCCAATTAGGACATGTTAATTTTTATTCCGACTTTCATCATCGGTTGGCCAGTTTAATTTTTTTATGAATTGTTATAAATACAAATTAAAATTTAAAATCTTTTTTTGTATTATATTATGTTTTTTATTTTTTTGAAATAATAATAATAATAATTTGGAGAATGCAATTTGTGTGGTATACAGATATTATTGTTTTAATTAAAAACCTAAATGAAACCCAATTAAAAATGTTTATATATTTATTTACATCTGAATAAAACCATCCAGAATCATAACTAAACTGTCTTGTGTTCATTTTATGTCGGGGAATATCTGGGATTTTAAAAAACCGGGATAGGGCACAGGTACTCAAGGGTTGGCCCAATCTAGACATTGGTAGGAGGGATCCAAAAAAGGGGGGGAACTGCAGAGTAGATGGTAAAGGTGTAAGCAAAGTAACAAGGTTGAAAGATGCGGAAAAGATGCATTTTCAGTACAGTACAGTATTTGCGTGCCTACCGTAAAACCTTGAATAGAGGACCTGGGCTTCGTTTTTTAGTACCCTTGGTTGTGTTCTTTTCGAGCTGGGCCTCTTTTCGAGATAAGCTTGTTTTCGAGATTATTTTAGCAAACTAAAATTGGGGGGGGGGGCTTCTTTTAAAAATGGATGCTGTAAATTTGGAATTGCTACTCAGGGGTGGATCCAGTAGGGGCCTAGGTGGCTTGTGCCCCTCCCCCTGTTTTGACATTCAATTTTTAACATTTCAATGCATATCAGTGTTATGTTAAAACTGTTGTGCCTCCCTCCGTTTAAAAAATTCTGCTACTATACAACATTTTTCAACTATGGAATTCAAATTTCTGTTTAATATTTTTTAAATTGTAACCATGTCAATACAATAAAATACTATTGATACTGACACACTATCATAACCATAAAAAAAAACCCATCACAACATCAGTACAGTCTGAATATAAGTGTTATCTCGAAAGAAGCCTATATTATCCTGATTAGAGATGGCTTCTTGAGATCAGTAGTGGCTGTAGGATACATTTTCTTTGGGGGGGGGGGGCTTCTTTTCAAGGTTATTTTTGCAAATTGAAGGGGGTGCTTCTTTTCAAGATGGGATTCTTAAAGATTAAGACCATTGGGCTTCTTTTTGAGGTTTATAAGATTGGATTGAAATCAAGTAGTAGCCATATTACTCCCTGATTGAAATAGTTAAGACTAATTAATAATAATAATTCATTTATATTGTGCAAATTCCATAAAAATATTTTAAATTGCACATTACAATAAAATAGGCTAAATATACAAAAGAGAAAGCTAAAATTCAGGGAAGCTAAATTATATTGCATTGAAAAAAAAGATAAATAAAATAAAATAAAAAATTTAAATTAAAAAAAAAAAAAAAAAAATTAAATTAAATAAAATTCTGTCTCTTATACACATCTAGATGTGTATAAGAGACAGAATATCATCCTTGTTTAATTCTCCGCCTGAAAGTGCAAGATATCAATGTCATTTCACTTCCATGAAAAGCTTGGTTTCCATAAAATCGCTACACAGTCGCTACAGTGATTTCAGTGTAATTGTTGTACTGCGTAGCAGTCCCCGATGCAATCGGAAAGGTCCTCGATTCGACCGACCAATCAGCATCACTGAAAGCTTTCGGCGATAGCATGTAGCGATTGTATGGAAACCAAGCTAGTTTTGTATATTCTGTAGATGTCCCCAATTAGGACATGTTAATTTTTATTCCGACTTTCATCATCGGTTGGCCAGTTTAATTTTTTTATGAATTGTTATAAATACAAATTAAAATTTAAAATCTTTTTTTGTATTATATTATGTTTTTTATTTTTTTGAAATAATAATAATAATAATTTGGAGAATGCAATTTGTGTGGTATACAGATATTATTGTTTTAATTAAAAACCTAAATGAAACCCAATTAAAAATGTTTATATATTTATTTACATCTGAATAAAACCATCCAGAATCATAACTAAACTGTCTTGTGTTCATTTTATGTCGGGGAATATCTGGGATTTTAAAAAACCGGGATAGGGCACAGGTACTCAAGGGTTGGCCCAATCTAGACATTGGTAGGAGGGATCCAAAAAAGGGGGGGAACTGCAGAGTAGATGGTAAAGGTGTAAGCAAAGTAACAAGGTTGAAAGATGCGGAAAAGATGCATTTTCAGTACAGTACAGTATTTGCGTGCCTACCGTAGAGGACCTGGGCTTCGTTTTTTAGTACCCTTGGTTGTGTTCTTTTCAAGCTGGGCCTCTTTTCGAGATAAGCTTGTTTTCGAGATTATTTTAGCAAACTAAAATGGGGGGGGGCTTCTTTTGAAAATGGATGCTGTAAATTTGGAATTGCTACTCAGGGGCGGATCCAGTAGGGGCATAGGAGGCTTGTGCCCCTCCCCCTGTTTTGACATTAAATTTTTAACATTTCAATGCATATCAGTGTTATGTTAAAACTGTTGTGCCTCCCTACGTTTAAAAAATTATGCTACTATACAACATTTTTCAACTATGGAATTCAAATTTCTGTTTAATATTTTTTAAATTGTAACCCTGTCAATACAATAAAATACTATTGATACTGACACACTATCATAACCATAAAAAAAAAACCATCATAACATCAGTACAGTCTGAATATAAGTATTATCTCGAAAGAAGCCTATATTATCCTGATTATAGAGATGGCTTCTTGAGATCAGTAGTGGCTGTAGGATACATTTCCTTTGGGGGGCCCCTTCTTTTCAAGGTTATTTTTGGGGGTGCTTCTTTTCAAGATGGGCTTCTTAAAGATTAAGACCATGGGTCTTCTTTTCGAGGTTTATAAGATTGGATTGAAATCAAGTAGTAGCCATATTACTCCCTGATTGAAATAGTTGACTAATTAATAATAATAATTCATTTATATTGTGCAAATTCCATAAAAATATTTTAAATTGCACATTACAATAAAATAGGCTAAATATACAAAAGAGAAAGCTAAAATTCAGGGAAGCTAAATTATATTGCATTGCAATAAAAGATAAATAAAATTAAATTAAAAATTAAAATAAAAAAAAATAAAATAAAATAAAATTCAAATTAGCAAGAAACATCACACACATTAATCAGATTGGCAAAAAGATAGTAAAAGTATCAAAAGTAATTTTAAAAAAAATGAGTTTTTTAAAACTATTTTAAACATCAACACTACTTGCTTTTCTGATTTCAATCATTAGAGAATTCCATAGTTCAGGGGCAGCATATTCAAAAGCATGGTTGCCTATTGTGACTTTAGTGCAACTAGGATACACATAGTTCAAGATTGTTGATAAACTATAGTCATTGAAATGTCCGTTCCGTTTCAGAACAATGTCATCAATATATAAAATGAGTATAAACCTCATGAGTCTGATTTTTGGCAGTATTAAAGCATGGTTTACTTTTGTATATCTAAGCGGTAGTGAATAATGTCTATGGTGGGGTTGATAGAGAGAAATTTTTCTCGTTTAGGATGTCCCAGAATTGTGCTTTAGAGCATTTAACTAAAGGGCACCTCAAAAACTTTGGAGAGTCTGGACGTTACTGACAGCTGACGCCCCTAAATCAGCCTCTGGTGGAGGTCAGGTAAAATACAGAAATAATATTACAGTATATACACCCCCAATCCCCCCAGTGATAACTCTTCCTTTGCAGGAGTTGTAGACGCTGGGGGCTACTTGCGACAGACCTTCACACATTGGCTGCTATAAATTTACATATCAAAAGTGTAGTAGTAATCTTTTCTACAATAAAGACTTTGCACCGCCACTAATCACACCATGATTGCATGGGGACCACAACGACCCTAGCAACGACAGCCCCAATAGAAAGCGACATTTTGAGAATTCCTAACTGGATTTTAACATAAGCAACAATATAAACTGTACATCATTATCTATAATATCAATTCATTTTATTGACAAATTTGTTGATTACTTTTAAATAATCATAGGCATAATTTTTATTAATTTTTCTTAGCTTAGTGTACTATCAAAATACATAATTATTCATACACTAACAATATCACATTAAAATGCAAAGTAAATTAATCCACCTGGTTATGAAATATCATTTGTAATGAAAATTGCTCTAGCTTAGTATTTTATACTTTAAATAAACTTTGCTTTCTTTTAAAATCTTTAACAAAACTAATATGGAAACAATTAGACTATTGAACACTAAGTTATAAGATCATGAAAGTGAAAATGAACAAGAAAAAAAAACAATACAAAACTTAGTTACACTGGTTAACATGTTTTTCCATATGAAAATGAGCTTACAATTTGGCTGAAAATAAGATCAGTATTTTGATGTGTTTAAAATCTGTAAAATATTGTGAAATAATCATTACCAACAAGTTTACGTAATGCAATTATTATTACAGATCGATTTCATCACGTTTTAAAACTTCAAGGGAAGTTACATCTTAATCAATGACACAGGAGTTATAGAAACCTTCCTTTATGTTGAATAATATTTTAGATTTGCTTATTTTACTTTTTGTTTCGGTAATTAACAATAACATTAAAGAAATGTTTATATTCTGGAGCACTGCCAGTTAAACATTTGTCTACCTGATTCATCATGATAAAAGAATATACCAACACATTTGTGGGATCAATCACACAATCGCCTCATAAGCCACCACTGAGGGGCAACAGATTATTTTTGTATTGAAGGTCAATTCATGAAAAACAGGTGGCAGAAATTAGCATCTGTTTGATTAAAGATTAGTTCTAGTACTCAGCTAATGTACAATCACATACTGTAAATGCTCGAATAAGCAACGTGGAGCTTATAACATTTTTGGAGGCTTCAGTGCGGCGCTTATTCGAGAACAGCGCTTATTTGAGAGTGGCGCTTAGAAAAAAAATATTGGCGTGGTGCTTCCGTGGTTACCAATCTCGTATGCCCATAGTTCAGTAGGCCTATCATATGTCCTACATCATCGTAATAAACGTTTATGAAGAAATGCTTGTGTCTTCATTGAGTTATTTATTCATTTTACACATTATTGCTTGTGTTTAAAACCGTGATTCTCAATGTGTTTCATTTCCACACAGGACAATATATTCTGTACTCTCGATTAAGCGCTGTGGTGCTTATTTGAGAGCGGCGCTTAGCGAAAAAATCAGGTTTGGTAAGGCGTTTCTTCGAGAGCAGCGGTTATTTGAGAGCGGCGCATATTCAAGCTTTTACGATACTGTATATAAGGTCAGTGATACAATAAAGAACAACTGTT